ATATAAAAAATGTTGCTATATTGGATAAAGGGTATGTTCAAAGGAAACCAGCAGCTGCTGGGAGAGATCAGTGGTTTCACCAAAACAGCAAAAGCAAAAACAGCAGGAGTGAAAAAAGGCTATAACCCTGTGTGCTGGCTCATGAACTACAGAGAAAAAACTCTTAAGTGTTTACGCTCTCCCCACAAAGCTGCAAGAAAAAAAATATCCCTGAGGAACAGCTGCCTACAATAGCAACTTGGTTGAAACTGATAGATATTTGATGTTTACGTAGTAGTATTATTACCATTATTACAGAAAGAACATTTCATGATGTATTTTTCCCTATCAATGGCCAGTTTAACCTTACTCTCTGCACTGTTGACATACTTCCCCTCTCTTCAGTCTCCACCAAAACAGTAGAGAAAAATAGTGAAATTCTTGGTAGCCTCAGCATTCAGTGGGTTCAACGGGCAGGTTCCTAGAAAAAGTTGTCGGGGCACCAGTCTGGTATCAAAAGCAGAAAGATTGGAAAGAATTCCTGATGAGACTGTGGTTTTAATTCCCAATGTCCATGCAGTGATTGGGAGGGAAGTTCCAGAGAAGGAAGCTTTTCTCTTTCTGTGCTCCTAGCTATTTGAGTAATGAGGCTCACAGGAGTTTGTAGGACATTGGTATATTCCCCTCAGTGTTTAAACAACAAGGTGCATAAAGCAGTCCTGAGCTTCACTTTCCTTCAAAGAGCAAACTTTTCTTTGCAAATGTCAGTAGCAACAAAACCTTCAGTTTTTTCATGTTTCATGACCGGCAGCAAAATCTTCACACATATCTAGGGTACCTACTGGAAGCTTCATCCATGGCAGCATACACAGCTTCTCTGTTCCTACCTTAGACGGACATGACTATAGGGGAACTCAAATTTTCAACATACAGTTCCTTTATTCCTTGTTCACCTTTTTTGAAGAATCAAGAATGTTTCGTGACTGCCCAGATCTTCCCTTGTTGACTGACTCCCATGGACTACATAGTTACTATCCTCCCCCAAGTTTCCACCCAAACCCTAGTTCTGAGTGGCTGCAAAACTCAGGCCCTGCAAGTAGCTGTAGCTTCTTTGCATCTTACTCCCCTAGCGATCCACAGCTCCTGTGAATCTTAGGCAGCAGATGGCATCTCATCAGACCCTTTAACGTATCTGTGGGCTTTCTATCTGACCCCATTATTGTCTCCAGCAAGTCTTGTAGACACCAAAGAAATTAATGTAGATGTAGTAGAGGAAAACTACATTGCAGAAGAGAACATAAGGAAATACATTTTTCCATTTTTACTTCAAACTGTGGTGTTTCCTGCTGCATGGATCTTCTAATCTTAGCAACTGGCAAAGCTTACAAGTCCAAAGAATACATTGTCCCTTAGTTTCTAATTTTGTCAGTTGTACGTTTTCTTTCCTTAAGTACCAGTAAAAGGAATTTTCAAACGGGGTGAGGACCTTTAAACTGGAAACTCAATTTTCAAGTACATATCAGTTACTTAAAAGCTCTACTAACTCTCAGTCAACAATTTCAAAAGTACGTACACAAAGTTATTGTCCTAAGTCGATACATTCATGCTTTTCACTAACTGTCCAGTACATCACAGCTCAACAAAATAAAGGTACACAATTAGTTCCTTTTATCAATACATAAAAAATCCTCATCCCTGGGTCTATGCCTGTCAAGTAACTCAAATTCTTCGTAAGATATTTCAAAATCCCAGCAAAAATATTTACCCTTGTACTTGGAAAAAATGGCCAGTCAAAAAACAAGTGGCAATTCTTGTTCCAGGAATTTTCGTTAGACTGTTAGAGTGAAAGCCACTTAACTGCTAATTTTTCAGTTTGTTCAAGGAAGGCAACTTCAGCTAGGCTCAAAATCAAGAGTTTAAGAGAAAGATATGAAGATTTTTTTACTGCCATGGAAACATTGTATTTGAAAACACAGAATGGAGAAACTTACGCTTTTCTGTGATCACTGTCCTAATGTCTGAACTGGAAGTTTTATTTTTCAAATTCTGAGCCAATGTAAAAACAGAATCAAGCTGAGGGTGCCGCTGGTCCAAATCTGCCTTTGTTATCTGTGGAGAATTAGGATATGATTTTTAAGTCCAAAAAGCAGAATTTAGATAACATCATCTGTATTATTTGTAGATAAAACATGTATGTGTTGTCAGAAGTAGATGGCTGTTCCCATCAGTGTTGTAACCTCAAACTGTCACAGTATTATAGCACTGCTTTAAAAAGCAAAAATATTCTGAATTATAGTTACTGATAATCCAGAGGAGAAGGTTAACCTGTACAAACCACAGTTACCACATTGCACAATATTTTCCAATACCTATTTTTCACTCTCCTATAACTTATCTTCCTCTTACCAAGCTCTGATCAGTTTTGGTTTGGGTTTTGGTTTGGGTGTGGTAGTTTGGGTTTTGTTTTTGGTTTTTTTTTTTTGGGGGGGGGGGGGGGGAGTGGAGAAGGAAAAGAACAGGGAGGAACAATCAGACTATATATTGTATAAAAAAATGTAGTTATTTCACTATGGCAATGTACAAGAAGCCCATATTACAAGTATTATACAGTTAAAAGAAAGTGTTTCCAAAGTTACTGTACATCACATTATTCTTTCAAATTCCAGATTATGTTAGACACCCACAGAAACAGTTTGGCACTTGTTTAGCCTGCAGCTTTTACTCTACAGTTACTCATGTTAATTGATACCAAGTCAAATAAAATGAACCTTAATGGTAGCATACATCTCACAAATACCACCCTTAGTCATGGCTCAGCACAGCATGAGCTATCAACAGAAACAAACATTTACATCATAAGCATTTATGTTACAACTTTTAATCATTTTAGCACATCTCTGGAAATCAGTTTAGTCTAACTACAACACAACAAAACTCATTAGAAACCACTAAAGAGCGGATCATAAAGGTCACCCTCCAAGCAAATATGAAGCTGCTCCAAAGTCTTCAGCATAAGCTATCTATATATTACCCAAAATATGTCATTTTCAGGAGGTATTCTCTATATGCTTTGTTTAAAACAAAAAAATAGCAGTGCCTAGCTCACATAGGCACATAGGAATTCACAGGAAATAGTAGAGGGGAGAAAAGTGTAATAATGACAGCATTTGAAGTGTAATTTTAAAGTTATACATTTACTGCAGTCAGTTTGTTGTTTTTATTTTTTTAAAAAAAACACATGTAATTTCTTTACTGAATGTACAAACTATTAAAGTGTGAGCCAATTTTCCAATCCACTAGCCTTCACAAAAACACATACTTTCATTCGTGCAATAGTCCGATTGATCTCTTCAGTATTTCCCACGGTGACTATGTTTGACTTGAGCATCTGGTCAATCAATACCAACCAGTCAGCCAGCTCAGTTGTAGTTTTGTCCAGATCAGCAGGTGCAGAAAGTTCCAAAGCCTGCTGAGTCTGAACAGGTATTTCCAATGAAGAAGATACTAGCACCACCTTTTGGACATCTGAAAGAGAGTTTGGCGTTTTTGTTAAAGAAAAAAAAAAGACAGGGCCACATGTGCAATTATGGGAATTACAGGGTTTATTTGTAATTCCTATAAATAAATATAATATAAACAGCATCTACAGAGAAAGTGTAGCAAAATTTGTATTTGAGGCATTTTAACCACCAGAAACTAAGTAAGCAGAAATTCCTTTTGCCTTTTTTTTTTAAGGCTATTAATTATTTCACTGCATGCCAAAGACTCACCCAAATGATTCAGCCTAAATACAAAAACAAACAAGAAGAAAACTTGCAAAGGCAAAATGACATTAAATCTAATGGAGTGAAGCTAAACACTCTTTGACACAAAAGGGAATTGACCCTTATTAAGCATACAAACCAATCCTTTTGTTTAAGATAAATGTCTAAAATTGTCTTCCTCACTTTTGTATTATGTGACAGAAAGGTTTTCCTCACCATTGGCATGGAATTCACTTACGCACCAGTAAGCTGAGCTACTCCAACAGACGCTTCACGGACTTGGCAATACACAACTGTCCTAAGAAGGGACAGATGCCCACTACTTCAGCTTCATCCTTTCTATTTTTTTATCCTGACATGGCAAAGAAGTGAGGAATGAGCTGAACATTAAGATTCGCTCCAGAAGATGTGTTTGGTTGTGTTCTAATTCCAAGAAAACACTAAGTTAAATCAAGCTGGAGCATGAATATTACATATTTGCCTCAAGCAATGAAATACAGGAGCTTTACTTAACAAACACCCTGTATGAAAGGAAAACAAGCTGAATCAAGGTTTTGAAAGGCTTAAACAAAAGTTGTTTTTTCTCTTTTAAATTTTGTTTACTGCTGCTGAATTGGAAAAAAAAATAGAGTTAATTTACTGAAGTTCAAGCTGCAAATTCTTTCAGTCAAGCACATCGTTTTTATGTAGTTTTCTAAAAAGAAGACCTGGGCATCTTGTTTACACACTGTATCTGCTGATCTGCCCCCAACAACCTGAAAAGGTGGCCAGTGTCAGTGTCTGATACAAGAACGTATCATATTTAGACAGCTTCCCCTACAAGATTCAGGAAGATAAATATCTATCTGTGTCCCTACTGAGCTGAAAGATGTAGAATGGCCTTTACTTATAAGGACTGCAGAGAATCTGCATGCAGAACATACTTTACAAATAATTAGCTGTAAGGAAAGCTTCTAGTGGATCTTAATTACTTCAAGGCATGACCACAAGGCACAAATCCACAGGAAACCAGGCTGTCACAAACACAGCTATTTTGGTTTTTATTATTCTGTACCTAGTAGACTGGTTCCTGGTGAGGAGGTCTAAGCTTTACCGAAACATTCCTCCATTTCAAAACTCTTACAGGAACTCCAAAAGTCTCCTCCCAATCCTGAACTGCAAAGTGACTGTCTCCCTAACCAAACATTCCCTCTTTCTCCCATAGTAACATGAAGGTAGCCCCAAGTGCAGCAACAGACAACATTTCTTATTTCCGCTTGTCTAAGTTCATAGGGAAGGTTTTTCTTTTTTGATTATTTTTGACCACAAACAGGATTAAACGCAATACAATTAAGCACAACAGAAGGATTAATCACTCACCAGAAGGCTTTGTCTGTGTAACAAGACGAGACTGCCCAACAAATGCCTCCAATTCTCTCACTCTGTCAGGCATTTCTCTGAACACCTACAGCCCAGCAGAGAGCAATAAAAACAGTAAGACAACCTATATTAACAGCAAAAAAGCAATCGCTTATTAGGAGACAAAATATTCTACACCATGCTTGCTACAATGGCATGCCTTAGACATATTTAAATTATTTTTTTCAAGGCATCATTTAAAAACAATAAAAATGCCAAGAGGTACTCAAAGTGTAATTTCAATATATTCCAGTGCCTTACCTAAACCTTACAGAGAAATAAATGAACTGTTGTAGACAGGTTGTTTACATGTTTTTTACTGCCTAAGCATCAAAGCTATGGCTCATTATTTGAGTACGCTTTGAAGAAAAGACGACACAAAGCATGATTTGTGGTCATCAGTGACAGGAAAGTAGAGAAATAGGGAATTAATTTAAAAAGAAAAAAATGTTACCACTAAACTATTGTAGTGAGGACAAATTTGCCTACTTTGCTTTTTAAAACTGCCAGTGATGGAAGTGTAATATACAAAGGGGGGGGGGGGGGGAAATCCCCATTTTCATGGCTAAGTAGGTAAAAACAGATACTTTTTTCTTTTCGTGAACTATCAAAAGTCCCTTTCCCCAATAAATTCTTACCTCCCTGACCCCTAATATAATCCCAAATAGTTCTATTCCTTTTTCATTTGGATGTCCAGTCTCTGCTTGAAAAAAATCTGGTTTTACTCCAAGCAGTGAGTTCTCTTCTTCTCATACACTTGTCGTGAGACTGAACACGAGTTTCTAATTTACAGCAGTTATACTCAAGAAGAATCCCAGACACACTTGATAAGATCTTCTCACTAAGCTTTACCACAGCTTCATTTTTTTTCCTCTTAACTGCTGCAAACATCCAACTTTCCTATACAACAAAGATTTATTGCAACTCTCTCAATTTCAAATTAATAAATTACTGTTTGCCTCAAATAAGTGAAATATTTTTGATCCAGCTGTTTAAAAGAAAGCCAATACAAAAGATAATCAACAAAAAAACCCTAAGCTAACTAAACTAACTCGTTCTGATGGAAAAAAGTCCACCAGTGTTTTCACATAGATGGATTGGGACACATTTCCTGTACAAGCCTGCATGGCTGCCAAGACATTTTATGTATGTCACAGATACATGGAAAGGAAAACAACCATTCTGAGTACACCGCTATATTTTCAACTTCAGGCATCCAATGCTGAAGAAATGCACACCTTATTCCACCTCACATTGAGGGACTGCAGGCAATCAGAAAGTTTATCTTTTTCCTGAAGATCAACATTTTTATCCAAAAGCACTTCAGGTTCCGTTCTGTTCAGCCATTCCAGTTTGTCTCCCTGTACTTCCATCTCTTCACTTAAGACCTAAAAGGACAGAAGAGTTTTAGACTGAAGCAAAATGCATACATTCTCAAGTAAAGGGGTGGGGGGAGAAGCTTTCCTTTAACTCCAATTTTTAGAAATTTTCCTGGAAATATATAACAGAAAAGCTTCTATTTTGGTTTCCATGCTCTATCTAGAAATTATTGAAACATTTATTCAAATATCAACTTTTATTGCTAACTGAAAAAACCCACAAAACTGCAAATAGGCAAGGTACCCGTACAGCTTCATACCATGCACACTGATTCCCATCTCACAAGATGCTTCTGTTCGATCACCTCTGGATGTACCATGTGTATCCAAAAGGCAACACTGTCAATGAAAATTGTTGCCTGCATTCATTTTTTAAAAAAAATTAAAAACTAAGGGCCCACTCCTGATATGTATTATACAAGTACGTGGTAGATCACCACAAGGTATTTTACTCTTAAGGAAATGTACTCTAAAGGTATTTTAAAACTAAACATAACATTACAACTTCATTTTGATCAACCTCCCATAGCTTTCCTTCTCTTTAAACGTGAGTGCAGGTCAGATCCTGCTTGGAGTCCCACTGACTTTAATCAACTGTGCTACCATCTGCCCATAGACTGCAAGCACTTTGGAGTAGGAACCACAAATTTTGTCTTTAAAGAACTAGAATTAAGAATTACAATAGCAAATACACATTTATCTGCCCCAATATGTATACTAATGTCTGTTACATGAGTATTATTGGAGGTGTGCATAGTAAAGTGACAGGAACACAGGCCTGGAAGGGAGATCACTAAACAAGAGTACCCTGCTACAATAAGCACTATACCAAATAGTGCCTTTTGTAAATTTTTCAAGGGTCTACTTAAAAAAAAAAAAATCTTTTAAAAACATGTTACATCATTTTTAATTGGAGGCTGCTCTAGAAGCTCTACTTAGAAATCTCCTTCTCATTCCCAGACTGTATTCATTCCTGACTGATCAGTCAATACTCAACTGACATGAGACAATTTGTTTAGGCAAACACAACTATAACTACTTTACATTGTTTATACACATTTGTAGGAAGGTCAAGCCTTCCGACCTGATTTCATCTAACAGAGGCTGTTTTTTTCTTTTTAAATTACTAATTTTAAAAAATGAGCAAGCAGGTTTGTTGGATTGACTACTGCTTCCATTCTTTTAGGACTCCAGAAACATTATCTTTCACACATCCTACAAACCAGAGATATTTTGTTGTCAAAGCCAGACACGAAATCAACAGGAAAAATACATACATACATACACACCCAAGTTACTTGCAATGACCAAAACCCTTATAGTTTAAAAAGCAGGTTAAACAAAATCTTACACATGTAACAAAGCATTAAAAAGCTGCCCAGTAAATGGGACAGTGATGGTTACTTACCATTTTAAGCTTATCGGCTTTTTGCTAAAGTTTTGACAATTATAAAATTGAGTTGGGGACATCATCTCCAGTGAAATTCCACTTACTAAATTTTATCAGTTGTACATATTTCTCACTTTCTGATACATAGCCACCATCTTCTGGTTAGATAACATAGTTATCTCCTCAACCCAACTTCATTACAAGATGCATCTTGCCTGTGTAAGTAATCTCACAAAACTGTCTCACACAACCACAATATTTCTTTGGCTATTTACAATATGAAAATTCCCCTCCCCAAAACCCATGTCCTGATACTCTGCACAAGATATATGTGTGCATACACATATACACACTAATTGATCTTGCCTGTAATTCTCGCAAGTTTTCTTCATGGTTGAATGTAAATCTTGCGTCCAGAGCATTTTCTACATTTTCCAACCAGCAACGCAGCTCATCAAGCTTCTTTCTGTACTCTATCAGCTGCTGATTCTCCCCTTTTAGCCTTAAAAAGGAAAACAAAAAATCCGCATGCATTTCTGCAGTGAATACAGCACATCAGCCCCACATTACTTCTGATGCAACACAGTCACATGTTTTTCAGTGGTTGGAGCATTTTAAAGGATTCATTTCGGTATTTGAAGGATTCTATCCTCATCATTAAAATGCAAGATACTTGCAAATTAATATTACCACCTTAAAAATAGGTACATTTAATTTCCAAAGTCACAAAATAGACTTTTAAAAGTCTGCAGAAAACATTAAACATAAGTGACAGTATGACAACACCTTCAGGCCTAATCATTGTAAGCCACTACAAGGCCACAGTTAGTGAGAGTATTAGAAATGTCCCTAAACCCTCCAAGGGAAAAATTCCCTAAATCACACAAAGCTTTAATGGAACTTCACAAACTAAATAAGAAAAGTCTTATTACATTTCTAAATGTATCAGATGTTAAAAACATATAATTATATAAATAGCCTCCAAAAATAACTATTAATTCCAGGGATTTATCCTTACACCTTTTTTAGCAGTAAGAATAGGGGGCGGGGGGGGCTTATATTCCCAGATACACTGAAAAATTTTATATTTATCTCAGACAACCTTGCTCTTTGATCTTTTGAAGTAAATTTAAGGCTACTTCAAAATAGCGTTCAGAAAATACCTAGTCAGATGGATTAAATCATTGCAAACATAGACCTAAACATCTTATTTTATAGTATTGTGGAAATTCAAGAACAATACAAGTGTTTCAATTAGTGTATCTTTGACAATGCAAAACAGAAATCAAGGTAATGTACTTACAGTTCAGCTTCAGCCAGAGAAAGTAGCTGAGTATTCCTTCCTAAAAAAGTCTAGCTTAGCAATGAAATAATTTTGAAAACAAAGGAAAACTGTAAGAAAAGAAGTTTTGTGGTTATCATTTGGTGGGTTGTGTTAAACAGACTCACTGAGCAGCCAATTGCAGGTGCATTTATGAGAAATTGGTTCTAGAAGATAGTTCAAAACACAGAGGTCTGAATGTCAAGAAAATTCAGATTAACGACAGCGTGCAATAGAATGCACTATCTCTCCCAGAGTCTTCTAAATCAGATTTTCCTCATCACATCTGGTCAGACATGCAAATTTCTGATTAACTTATTACCTCTGTTGTCTATCCATGACCTCTGCGGTGATTGCTTTCCAGCGTCTATTCAATCCCGCCAGCTTCTCCTGCAGGAAGCTCCCATCTGTAGCAGACAGTTTCTGTATGATCCCTTCCCCAGTTCTGTTCAATGCTGAAACACTGGTCTGATGGCTGCTGACTCCCTCTTCAAGTTCCTGTCAGAAATAAAAGCCATATAGAATTTTATTACTTACCTAAAGTGACTTTGATCTGTGGCTCATAATATGCAGGATGCATCCTGGGTGCTTATTCTTTTTAGTAAAACAGGCACTTAAAGCCATCTTAAATCAACAGCATCCAATTTTAAGTAAGTTATTAAGAGTCTGTTTTTTAATCTAGTTCAATTTTCTAATGAGTGTCATAAAAAGATGACGACACAAAATAGGCTGCTGAATACTACTTAGGATCACAAGAACTCATTTAAACCATCAGTGCCAGAATACACACTCATGTTTGATTCCTTTCCTCTTAATGTACTGCACTTTCTAGTAGTGCTAACAGATGGTATGACTTTTTTTTAACCAGTTCTTTTCATAACGTATGCCCCTGACTATTTCTGTAACTTAACAGCATTTTAGCTAGGATAATTATGGCTGTGCTGCCATGGTCCCCAGACATCACAGAAAATCCATGAAACTAAAGGAAGTCAGAAGATGCCAGGATCAAACCTTCAAATATCCCTAATCACTACAACAACCTTACATTGTTAGTAAATTTCTTTGCAACTAGATCAGGAATAAGATGATTCAAGAAACAGAAGGCAAATGCCCTAGAAGAAAACTCCAAGCAGCAACAAGCATAAAATACAAACTGTATGTTAGGTAGAACATACATTTCTGTAGCAATATTTACCTAACTCTTGGATAATCATTATTCCCAAAAGAAAAGAAAAAAAAAAAATGATCCTTAAAATTATGTTTTCTTCTCCTTATCTAAAAGGAAGTAGTTTAGCTAAACAGAAAACTCTGTTCTTCTGTAATGCTGAGCTAGAAAGACATCAGGGAATTAAATTCCAGAACTGAAGTCCAAAACAATCAAACCTAAGACGTCTGTAATTGGAATCCTCTCTTTTTCTAGAGTGCCTATACAAGGCAGGATCTTGCAAAGTCATTAGTTTTAAAAAAAAAAAAAAAAAAAAATTGCTAATTTATAATTGACCATTGTGGGGTCCATCTTTTTAATTATGAGTAGAAAGTAAGTGAAATAATATACGTGATTTCTTAACTGATTAACATGTTATAAAACAACAAAAATTATGCCAACATTTGAATTATCAAATTATCTCAAACCCAACCATACTAAGAGTCATCATAAAACCCCATACTATAAGCAGGAGTTGAGATCTTCCCCAAGAGTCATTTTAAACTGCAACTGATTTAAGAGTTACCACTGTTTAAAGTGTAACTGCACAGCCTCATTTCAAATCTATATGTCTATACATAAAACTAGAATTTTAGACAAAAATCTAGACTTTTTCCAGCTTGCTCGTTTTCTGCACAAATCATACATACCTGCTGATGCAGCCCAGCTGTCTGCAGCTCCAGGCTGCCATCTGGACCACGGGCATCGGCTAGTAACACTTCAGCTTCCGTTATCCAGTGGGAGAGGTCATTGAGATCACAGTGGAACTGCCTCCATGCCTCAATTGCTCTATCAAAGCCACTGTTTGAAAACAAAGCGTTGAAAAATTATCCAAACTGTTTTGGTGAAAAGGTTATGATTCTTGCTCCAGTGAGCAGAAACTTGCCTTGCAAAACAGAAAGTGTTTAGCCTGCTTAACAAAGCCCCAGTACTGAAGGCTTCCTGACATAGTAGCAGCTGGTAAAAGCCAACAACACAGACTGTCACTAACTTGCAGCTGAAGGAAAAAAGGGCAGTCCTAAACCAACTTTTGTTTCTATCACTTAAAAAATAAAGATTGATTAGCTGCATCAAATTGGTCTGCAGAACACTTTTTTCTTTATTATAAAATGGTTCAGATATCAGACAGTGTGGAACATGAAATATGATTAATTGCTCAGTTATTTTTTTTTTTTTAATTCATAAACCATGTGGTGCTGGTGCCTGGAATTTAATAAGTGAAGGTGATTTTGATTATATAGAACTGATTGTATTACCAGTGGGCTTGCATAAGTAGGTCTTATATAATTTCATCACACAATAATTTACCAGGCATTTCATTATTATTACTACCATCTCTGCAGCCTCAAGTTAATGTGCAGCTTAACTTGAAGGGCAACATTTTCTAGCATAGAACAGGCTGAATTATCACAGTCAGAAGGTTGTTTTTAACTAAAATGAGAGTTCTACTATGTTGACAAACTAACAAAAACAGCCCATGAATGTTAAATAAGAAAACCATGTCAGAAAGGCACAGAGAGAGTAGCTTGCTTTCTATTTGTTGATTACTAACTCTATGCTAGGATTATAAAGGAAGTAGGACAGATGACTGAAAGGACATGGGACTTTAGACAAACAACATGAAATCCACATCAACACCAACAGACTGGATAGTATCCCATTCCAAACTAATAAAAATAGTCTTTAAAGACATAGGAGGCCAGGTCTCCTGCTCATCAGAGGACCTCTAACGTGACAGATTGCATCTGCAGCCCATTATTTTTGTCTTAAACAATTCCAACAGCAAAGACTCCAGGGTTACCGCTTATATACAGACGCAATCTGAAATTAGCAGCATAACATCAAAGATATCCGAAACTGAACTTTAAAGAGCTACCACTGCATCTATTTTCTTCACTAATTAAACTCAACAATCCCAGAGTTCCTAGTGAGATTATTTTCATCAAAATTATATCTCATTTTTATCAAGACATCCATATTTCTTGGCACATACAGGGCTTTTTTGTTATTATTAATCTTCATGTGGGCCAATTCTAATAAAGAAAGCAGCCTTAAAAATCTCTACTTAAATTTTTCTGACCCTACCTCCTAGTTCTACTGTTTCAGTTCCCTGCGTATATCTAAATTCAATACACTAGACCAACCTGTAGACTGACCCCAAATCTCATTATCCTTTTATTTCTCAGGTACATTTTAGTCTAACTGAACATAGAATCATAGAATGCTTTGGGTTGGAAGGGACCTTTAGAGATTGTCTAGCCCACCCCCCCTGCAGTGAGCAGGGACAGCTTTAACCAGATCAGGTTGCTCAGAGCCCTGTCCAACCTGACCTTGAATGTTTCCAGGGACGGGGCCTCCACTACCTCTCTGGGCAACCTGTTCCAGTGTTTCACCACCCTCATTGTAAAAAATTTCTTCCTTATATCTAATCTAAATCTATTCTTCTTTAGTTTAAATCCATTATTCCTTGTCCTGTCACAACAGGCCTTGCTAAAAAGATTGTCCCCATCTTTCCTACAGGCCCCCTTTAAGCACTGAAAGGCTGCAATAAGGTCTCCTCGCAGCCTTCTCTTCTCCAGGCTGAACAACCCCAACTCCCTCAGCCTGGCCTCATACAAGAGGTGCTCTAGCCCTCCGATCATTTTTGTGGCCCTCCTCTGGACCCGCTCCAACAGGTCCATGTCCTTCTTGTGCTGAGGGCCCCAGAGCTGGACGCAGTACTGCAGGTGGGGTCTCACCAGAGCAGAGTAGAGGGGCAGAATCACCTCCCTCGACCTGCTGGCCATGCTTCGCAGCCAACACAGTGCCTCACAGTAGTATCTCATTCCACATTTAATGAGAAGAGATATTCTAAGCACTTAAAATATTTTAAAAGACTATTTTATTGTCTTCCTTTAAAATCAAAGTTTCTGGGGGAGCTTTGACCACATGACTTTTTCAGAATCCAGAACTTTAGAGAAGAACACTTTGAGATACAAAGCTTTAACTCCTGCTGTTTCCATTGTGAGCCTACAGTTCCATCAACATTTTGAGCAACGAGACAAAGTTTCACTCCAGTCTTGAGCCAGATGCCCATGCTGTTGTTTCACTACAGACTGCCTCAACTGGAAGATAAAAGTACCAAAGTCTGGTCACTACAGCACTGACACTGGGCTACTTCCTGCCTCCTCTGTGGGAATTCGCTTACTTCTGAACCACAGCTCGTTCCCAAGTCAGCAACCCTTTTAGCACTGGTGGAAAGCCCATGGCTGAAGGAGCAGAACTAGCAGACCAACATTGTTACAGACCAGCATTGTTACAAACAGCTCAACAAAGCATTAAGCCCATACATACACGCACAGAAAACACACACATTTTACTTTACACAAACTGAAGTCAACTGGACTTATTTGAACACTTAAAAGCTTTACTAAGTACAGTTTAATTCAACTTGTGCTTGGCTACATCAGTTTTTATCAAAGGTTTAACTACTTAGCCAGCACTCAAGCACAAAATCATTACTACCTCTGAAAACTAAATCAAACTTTTACCACACACTTCAGATGCTGTTTCTACTAATTCTGTCAAAATCTCCACCCACTCCAGAAATAGAAAAAAGCCAGAGATTATTAAGGTGATAAAGTCTTCTAGCCTTCTTGCTTATACTTAGGGCAACATTGGGAAAAGCAAGAATAAACTTGGTTAAAAATTCTTCTTAGCAACAGAAAGAGTATAAAAATACTAACACCAAAACACAGCATTTTAATATTGATACTAATACTATCTTCATTAATCAAAGTATATTCTTGAATTAAAATTGTAACATTTAATATATTCAGGAAGCTACGTAACATTTTAGGTTAAATTGCTAGTCCAGTAGTCCCTTTTGTATGAAAATTGCACCCAATATTATCTCATTAAGATGCAGAGCTTTACAAACTTTATGAAGTTCAAGATTAATTTTTATTCAGTGAACCAGCTGAGGAGGTCGTCTGTTGCAATTTGCCAGCTAATCATAAGATCACTTTACTGATCCAGTGGCCCAGAATTTCTGGAAGTCTTTGCTTAGACAATGCGACCAACTGATTTTTATATTCCTACACATAGACCAGTGCTCTGAGAAAGAGTTGAAACATCAGCTTTTGTAACACACACTTCCTGAAAACATCTCCTCAAAATACACTACCAAATGTGTTTGATACCAGATTTCTGGTGCTACAACACAAGTGAACATAGCTAGACATTACTTTATGCTCTACAGAACTTCTGCATTAACCATTACCTTATATCACTATTAAAAAGCAAATACTGTAAAAGCAAATTAACTACAGTATGAGCCTTTGCTTTTCATTTTAAGTTTCATAAAATCATTTTCAGTCATTACGGTTTTTTTGCATAGCAGCAATCTTGGCATCTACTGCTATTTGCAGCGTGAGTACCTTCAGCTTAGTGGTAACCTCCTGAACACATACCTTCATACTTTCACCAATTCCAACTTAAAATGCCTGACACGCTTTTCCAAGTTTGACTAAGTGGTATTGAGTTTGTTTTTAAACATTTAAATACATTTCAGGTAAGGCATTTTCAGCTTACAGTATCTTCTGTAACAGGCAGGGAAGAAATCACAGCTTAGTTTAACTGGGTTTTTTCCCTACTTTTTTGGCATTAAGTGAAATCACAGCTATTTGATCTTTGTGAAAGCAAACAGGAAATACATTTTTCTTAAGCATTGATTTCAATATTCTCTTGTTCTCTCAACCACAAAATTTTCTAATATGGTCATCTCCCATCTTCAATTATTTACAACAAAGATTATTGGCATCTATCATACGTGCTGTATTTTAAAGACCCCAACCTTTCAAACTCCTTCCCTCCTTCAAAATTAGCCTTGAATTCTTTGTTAAAAGATGTCCTATTCAACATTTTTCTGCTAGAACTTTGCTTTGTGATACCTTTACAAAACAAAAATTTTATGTTTTATAAACAAAATATTCTATTTTATAAAGTAAAAACAATCAGCTTCATAAAGGCAGCCAAACTACAATTTGCATGTTAACTGTTTCAACATTCATTAATTCTGGCAATTATTGTGTAATACTAGCATATTAAAGCTGATTACTCCCAAACTCTTTATCTTCATCATTAGGGTACATTTGTAAAACACTTATATTCAAGTACATAAAATATTTACCACGTGGTCACAGAAACCAAACATCCCTGACTTACCATTTACGATCATTGTACATTCTATTAATTCTATCCCATTCCGCATTCAACTGGGTTAGCGCATCTCCTATTTGTATCGCCTCAGGTCCAGATGCTTCTAATATAACATCAGGCTGCTTCTCGTGTATGACCGCAATTTGATCCCCAAGTTTATCCAAAATATCTTTTATGTTCTGCAAGCACAGTAATAACACAAGGCATTAGTAAAGTCAACACCAGCATGACATTAAGAAAAAAAAAAAAACAAAAAACAAAACCAAAAAAGAACAAAAAGTAATCTCTTCAAAACACTGTTCCAAAAAATCAGTATCTACTATAAGACCATGACCGTCAGCGGTTTACAGATTAAATCAGTTTTAGCAACTGAACTGAATAGTCCGTCACACCTTTTTAAGCATGTGTCCTTCTCAGTTTATGAAGAGGATTAAATATCCAATCTGTTCCTGAGGTAAAGGGGCATACCATACTTCTCAAAAACAGCAGTATCTTCATTACTAAACAAATCTGCCTGTGTGTCGTGAAGACACTGTACCTATTCCTTCCTCAAGTAAAAAATGAGCCACAGAACTTTGACTTTATTATGCTTCACGTAACCTCCTATATGCACAGACCCGCAAAAGCATAAGCTACATAAAAGTTTTAGATTTAAATGACAAAGTTAAAGCAATCTATCTCAAATATCATTGAACTAGGATGTGAAAATACCTTTAAACCAGATGCTATTATAAGACTGCCTTGGTATTCAGAGGACAAATAGTCCATGCAAACAGTAGAATTTACTTATCTTTTCTAATTTAAAACAGTAACACTTCTAAAAATTCTGTGCTATTCTCTGCTATTTGTTTCTTCCAAAAACAGCCTTAGAATACACCAAAATTTCAAAATCAGACAAGACACCTGCACCAAAATGAAGTATTTTAAATCCATCTTAACATAAACACTCCTAATAGTACTTAAGGGAGCACAGAAGCAGAATAAACAGGGACAAGAGAATCTCATCAACAACACAAAACTCGCCCACTTTGACAAAGGTTGGCATCATTCCCCTATTTGCTTTTAAAAACTATGCCAAAAAACAAATATGAAAAATGAAAGAATGTACACAGCATAAAGAAAAGCAGGTCAGAAAAGCGGACTGAAATTCTGAAAGGCTTTTAAAGGACCTGTATAACAGCTGCCGAAACAGCTGATCTAGCTCTAGGTGAGAGACAAAGCCTGACTTACCTCAAATATAAGGACACATGGACCCCGCTATGCTTCCAACCCACAGAGGTACATCTACACTGCACCACACCATGTGCAATTCCCAACTCCAAGGGATGGTTTCTGTGGGGAATCTCTGTATTGTGCTCCTTTGCATGCTCAAAATTAACCAGGATTCAGACTTCTACATACTTAACTCACATTTGACAGCAGGATTCAAAATTTTCAAACATACTTTCCTCATCCCCTTTTGAAGAAGGGCAAATCCTTAACTACTTCCTCATTAATCACACAGGTAAATCCACTGACTGGCAATGAGGAGAAGTGGGAGCTTAAAATTGAGCACATATTGATGCTTGCTAATCAGAACAGGTACCATTGTCTTGTGGCCTCATATATAGCTTCATACAAAAGTCAAGAATCTCCCTTCCTCCCTCTTCCCATGTGAGGAATTGTCTTCACATGACACAGAGAACAGCAGCTGTATGAAGGAGACCAAGCAGGAACATAAGGAGATTGACTTTAGTGTTTCTCTATGTATTACATAGACTACGTGATGAAAAACACAAGTTTCTCCAACAAAAGAAGTCAAACCCTTCTCCCCCAACCTCCCACTCAGCTTCATGCTGCTTCACTTTGCATCCAGATTCTGCATAAAAGAAAAATTAGCCACAAAACTGTCTCAATATTTAATTTTCAGTGCATATTGATCCAGTATATACTGAGCAAAAATACAAATACAGCTATACTGTCGCTACAGTGGTCTTTTTTCTTCTGCTATTCCCATCTCCCATTCTTCCCTCTGAATGTAATGCTTAGGCATGCAGTACCTTCAGTGCATCTTCCTGAGTTGAAAAATCCTCATAGATGCCAGTATTTAGTTCTGGTGCATTCAGCAGCAGTTCAACATCAGCTATGGCCAGCAAGACTTTGTTGATTTCAACCAAGTACTCAGCTGAAAAAGGCAAGGTCCTAACCCCTGCAAAGTGGCCTTTTAACCTTTGCTGGACAGGGATTGCCTAAAAACATGAAAGTTCATTTTATATTTCAAAGAACAAGCAATTTTATGAAAAAATCCTAAATCAGTAGACTATATTCAGAGTAAGTACTTTCTACATTAAAAGACAAAACAAAGGCCTTTCTAGCAAAGTTACATAAATTCACAGAGCTGCAAGTCCTGCAGAGAATTGTTTCTGTATTTATAAAAAAAAGTTAGAAAACAGTAGATACCATGCTTCACATTGACCCTGTATTATTCTTTATTAAAACTCTGGGGAGCAGGAAGGGCACTGCTGTTTCTCTCACCTTGATCCTTACTGTTTCCACAAATTACAGTTCTTGATCAAGCCTGTATCTAGTTCTGATTACAGCCCACTGTCTGCTTCCTTCATCATCAAGGACTCCCAGAAGTTACCAATTTACTGAAGCAGACTTTTTTTTTTTCCCCACTCCACATTCTTTTCAATAAGCATCTCCATCCACATTTCTCAGCCATTTTTTAAATAAATTAGTGCTCCACCAGTACCACAATATGCTTTTTGCAGCAATAAGAGACACTAACTCCTCAAGAGCTTGGCAATTGTTCTCTGCTCTGGCTGTAAGACCAGGCTATCTAGCCAAGTACCACGTTAGCAGATAAGAAAGCAAGAACAGTAATTCAATGCAGGTTTTTCTTGGATCATAAATGATGGCCTGGATCTGACACATTAGGAAGCCAACTACAAGAAGCTATACTCTGCCATGCCTGGCAAAGCTAGCAGAGGCAGGTGAAGCAGATGCTCCTAAGACTGAAAGCAGTTTTTTGTTGAAAAGGTTACCTGTCCAACAGGTTTCTGTTACCATCTCTGAAAACAGACCAGTTCTTTAAATTTAAAAGTAAACCCACCTCCAAATACTGAATAATTCCAACAGCTTGTAAGCCACCATTCTGTAGTCAGTGAATTTGAGTCAAGCAAGACAAAGACACTCAACTGTATGATTTACTAATGGCTGAGAATTAACTTAAGAGTGTGAAGAATAAATGTATGTTCACAGCCATTTCAGCCAAGTGAAATTTTACTTTACAATTAGTCTGGGCTGGGTGCACACATGCAAATCACTAGCACAGCTGACAACCAGTAAAATATTAAGCCCCACTAACATAGCTGTTTGCAAACACCTGTCTGTATCTTCCTCCTCCACATGTTTCTGACCATTTCAAGTATGTCATTCAAATTAACTGGAAACTAACACATGCAGCATGTGTAGTTCAAAAGAAAAAAGGACTACAGCAGAAAAGCTATGTTCATGTATTCATCATTCAGGATTTCTTCTCATGCACTACTCCTAAGGATTTTATTTATTTTGTGTTGGTTTGGGTTTTTTTGTTTTGTTTTTTTAAAGTAGACAGTCACCCCTGCATTGAAATTGGGGACACAACTGTGCTTCCACAAGACCTTTACCACCAAACATGGTACACTTTCAGTCATTCATCACACACCAAAGAGATAGGATGTACAGGCACATAAGCATAAATTGAGTCTACTGAAAACAAGTATTACAGACAAGCATCATAAAATACTCAAAATTGCTTTTGATTCAGTAACAGTATAGCAAGCAAGCACCGCAGTAAAAACCATAAACTAACCATATGCTTTAGTTACAAATCCAGCACTTTGCTCCCTGATGCTCCCCAAACACATTTTCTGGAGGCGCTGTGTATATTTTGTCAGCTCCCATCACTGAAATTTGGAGCAAAAGCCCAAGGCTTAGACAGTGGTATGACTTCCTGTGGAAGGAAAGGCCCCAGCTCCAAAGAAATCAGACAAAGCTTGTGCAACTCAAAGTATCCTTTCCCCAGCAATGTGGAATAAGCCTGGGTTTGAACAAACACCAGGATGCCTGCTGCAGCACAGCCACCTGCAACATCTGCACAAGGTGTTTTGTCTAACTCTACATCATCCCACAAGTCCCATTCTCACACAGGCAACGGTCTAGAATCTGGATTTCACCCAAATGAACAGGTCACTGGACTTTATTATCATTCTACTTCACACACATTCCTTTATCTCTGTCGTGGTTTAACCCCAGCCAGCAACTAAGCACCACACAGCCACTCGCTCACTCCCCCTGCCCCAGTGCAATGGGGGAGAGAATCGGAGGAGTAAGAGTGAGAGAACTCCTGTGTTGAGACAAGAACAGTTTAATAATTAAAGTAAAATAATAACAACAACAATATAATAACAACAGTAATAATGTACAAAGTGATGCACAATGCAATTGCTCACCACTCACTGACCAATGCCCAGCCAGTTCTTGAGCAGCGATCGCTGCCCCCCAGCCAACACCCCCAGTTTATATACTGAGCATGACATCATATGGTATGGAATAGCCCTTTGGTCAGTTTGGATCAACTCTTCTGGCTGTGCCCCCTCCCAGTTTCTTGTGCACCTGGCAGAGCATGGGAAGCTGAAAAGTCCTTGACTAGCGTAAGCAGTACTTAGCAACAACTAAAACATCAGTGTGTTATCAGCATTCTTCTCATCCTAAATCCAAACCACAGCACTGTGCCAGCTACTAGGAAGAAAATGAACTCTATCCCAGCCAAAACCAGTACAATCTCCCATTAGAAAAAGCTTGCACAAGATTTAAAACAGCATCTGGTGGCACACAGCAAACTTGTTTTCCACTTGTTGCCAACACTGACATATACTGAAACCCTCTGCTTCCCCAGTAGCACCATCCTGGACCAGATTGCTGCTCTTCTGCAAAGCAGTGAATTCCTCCTGGTGCTGTTCCTGCAGAGCACACCTCATTACTAATCTCCTCCAGCTGCCTCCCATCACTGAGATGATGTCTCCTCCTTTCACAACCTTCCTTCTTAAAGGTGAACATATGTAAGTGTTACAAACACATTAGTGCTTCACTACAGCCCAGTTTTAATTGTTCAGCTGTTCTCTACCTTGCACTGCAGACTGGCAGCTTCTAAAATGCAGCATAAAGTACTAGAAAATGGAAGAGCAGAAGTTTAACATAACTGTCTCACACAAAACAAACACCTAAATGTCACAGAAGCTGGTTTTTAGGGTTTTGTTTCAGTTTGGTTTTAAATTTAAAAACTCTTTTCTTAAGCACCCACAAATAAAAAGTTAATCAAAGGTTATTTAGGAGATCTGACTGGATGACTTAATAGCCCTTTTCTACTTTAATTTCAGTAGTAACAGAGCATGTTAAGTTTGGTCTCTTTAAATACTAGGAAAATTGTAGGACTGAGGAAAAAAGGGGACTACTCAGTTACTACTGTACATTCTATAAATAAGGTCTCTCAATGAGAGCTGCTAAAAATAATTTTAATTCAGTGGTCTAACAAAAATTTGTTTCCTCCTATACTTAAATATATTTTGAAACCAAATCTACCAAAGATTCAACTGAAGGACATACTCTGACTTGCTTCCAAGTGGATTTTGGAAAATACTGCCCAAGAAATGACATAAAATTAAATAATTTACCTTCCATGTTTAACTGCATAAACATTCTAACCACAAGTGTTTACCCAGTCTAATCTCAGATCACCACACATTACTTATTGTCTGCAAATAAATACTCTTATTTACAGCATGGGGAACAAACAGGAGGAGTTGGAAGCTACTGTACTACTAGAAAGCTACAACCTGATTGCCATAACTGAAACTTGGTGGGACGAATCCCATGACTGGAATGTGGCCATTGATGGCTACAGACTGTTCAGAAGGGACAGGCAAGGAAGGAGGGGCAGAGGCGTTGCCCTCTATGTAAGAAATCAATACAGTGTGAAGAGCTGTCCCTGAAGAATAGCCACGAGCAGGTCGAAAGCTTAGGGGTAAGAATCAGAGACAGAGGCAACAAAGGGAATCTTGTGGTTGGTGTCTACTACAGGCCGCCTGATCAAGGGGAGCCTACTGACGAAGCCTTCTTCCTCCAGCTACAGGAGGCTTTGTGCTTGCAGACTCTTGTCTTGCTGGGGGACTTCAACCACCCTGACACTTCCTGGAAAAGCAACACAGCGGCTGTAGGTAATCCAGGAGATTCCTGGAATGCATTGAGGATAACTTCATAAGCCAGGTAATAGACACCCCTACCCAAGGGAATGCAATACTGGACCTGATGGTCACCAGTGCAAGTGAGCTCATCAGTGATGTCAAGACTGGGCTGCAGTGATCATGCGTTGGTGGAGTTCATGCTCCTGAGGGACATGGGGAAAGCGAGGAGTACAGTCAGGACCCTAAATTTTAGAAAAGCAAACTTCCAGCTCTTCAAGGAGTTAGTCAGAAGGACCCCCTGGGAAATGGTCCTCAGGGAAAGGGGAACAGAACAGAGCTGGCAGATCTTTAAGGACACCTTCCATAGAGCACAAGAGCTGTCAGTCCCCAGGTGTAAGAAATCAGGCAAGGAAGAGAAGAGACCAGCATGGCTCACAGTTGAGACCTGCTGGTCAAACTGAAGAGTAAGAGGAAACTGCACAGGCAGTGGAAGCAGGGACAGGTGTCCTGGGAAGAGTACAGGGAGGCTGCCCAGATGTGTAGGGAGGGGGTCAGGAAGGCCAAGGTGCAGCTGGAGCTGAATTTGGCAAGGGGTGTAAAGAATAACAGAAAGGGCTTCTACAGGTGTATCAACCAGAAAAGGAAGGTTAAAGAAAGCGTACCCCCCTTGATGAACAGGAATGGTGACCTAGTGTCAACAGACGAGGAGAAAGCAGAGGTACTCTACAACTTCTTTGCCTCAGTCTTCACTGGCAACCTCTCTCCTCATCCCTCCCGAGTCCATGGACCACAAGATGGGGACCAGGGGAGTAAAGCCCCTCCCACTCTAAGGGAAGATCAGGTTCAAGACCACCTGA